TGGCACAGATACACTCTGTCCTCATACAATGGAGAGGGGGGGGGGGAGAGAAGAGGGGCGGTAAGATAAGAGAACAGATCGGGAGACTTTAACGTAACATTGTGTGGATACTAACATTCAAGTTACGCAGGATCTCTTCTGCCTGCTTCAGGGGAGAGAAAAACAATCCCCTTTTGAATGACCCCCATGTCAAAGCCACTGCCCACATTGTTATCTGGTATAAAGGGCCAAAGTTCAAAGTTAGAGGACTGTCCACAGGGTGGTGTATGTGCATCTGTGCATGTACTCCATTATAATATATGTTTTCCTTCCTCAGTGGCTGTATGGTGTCGCTTTTAAATCAATCACAGAGAGACTGCAGTTATCACACACACCAGGCAGAGAAGTTTATAGGCTTATGTGTCTTTGTGTACATATTTTTATAATTTTATGTGCAACAAATAAAGTTTGAAAAAGCACTGATGGTGCATTTCCAAATTAAAACAAGGCAGTCATTACAGTAAATCAATGTTAAATGCTCCATTTTTGCACAGCTGAAAGGGGTGTGGCATTAGAGTTCACAGGCAGCATAATCAGTCAGTGTTGAGTGCCTGTTGCTCAACTAGTTGTGCTAATTAAGGGGATTTGGTTAATTTAAAAATTAGGTGAGTGGGTGAAAATGAGGACTTACCCATTGATACCGACTTTCACCATTTTGCCTGGGTTGTCTTAGTCCTCTGGGGGAAGAAATGAGAGCAGAAAGACAGAAAATGAGGCAGAAAGACAGAAAATGAGGCACAATGCTTCCTGTTAAATACTGATAAACCAACTTTTATGATGCCATATATTAGCTTTCACTTGACGACAAGACAGTTGTGCATTGAGATAAGCCAAGAGTTTAAACGAACATGCAAAAGTATTCCCTGTGACCACAGGTGTAAATCTGCAGACCAGAACTTTCCCTGCAAGTCATCCTCAGCACTAAAAAGCAAAATCTGAGATTTCTCTTAAGTTTATAACCACATTTACATCAAAATTAGGCTAAAATCAAGCACATGCAGATTGTTCCCCAGGTGATCTAAATCAAGTTCTTCAGTCATACAGACTGAGACCCTGCAGGTTCCTGCTTGAAATAATTACATTTTCTGAAGGTATTTACCGTTTGTGAGACGCTTCAGTCTGTCTTGCGACTCCGGGTGTGAGTGGGGAAGAGCGAAGTTTAATCGTGTGTTTTTATGATTAACCGAGTTTAAAGCCACGCCCCCTCCTTGCTCACTGCTCCTCAACCCGCCCCCCTCTGAATGTCAAGGTCGTCCCTGAAAGAGACACACAAGCTGGCCTCTGCAAGTTCACTTCATGTGAGTTAGAATCTTTTCTCTTATTATCCCATTTCTGCTGCTAAGTTTAAGCTCTGAAAAATTTAGGCTGCATTATTTCAGCAGAATTCAAGCCTTTCTTGTGTTTCTGCCTTTCTCACTTTTAAGAGTTCTGGATTTAGAGACTGAGGTATTAAAGTCCTCAGATAGTGAACTGAAAAAGAGAGGGGTCCCTCGCTGACCTTCTCAGTAAACACAGAGACACAGAGGGAGCAAACCAGGGATCAAATCTCTGTCTTCCTTACCGTGACATTTAATGGCCAAAGAACATGACCCTTCACTTTCAGATTCAGACTGTAGCTACCCTTCTCTTCTTTCTCTGCCTCTCCATCTCCCCGGCAGGAGTCAAAAGATGAGTGCTGGTTGCTCGACATGAACAAATGATCATTACGCATGTGCAGAGGAAGCATCGTCAGTCTGTTTGAGTCCATTTACTCAGTCCAATTGTTAATTTGTCAGGTTATTTAGAAATTACTAACAGAATCTTAATGCTAAAAAAACATTTTATTAAAAGACAATTTCCATTGTCTGAATAAAAGCGCTGCACTTGAGGTCTTGGTACAAAGTGTTAACTGTATTAAATTAAATTAACTGTCATCACTTGTATTCTTTGTACACAGAGTATGACAAGGCCTGGACGTGTCTTTTGACTACTTTTTCTGGCAACATTGTTGACATTTGAAAAGAAAATGCTCCAAGAGGATAATTTAAGATGTTCATCAAAATAATGACAATGTCATTTTAAACCAGAAGTCCATTCAAGTTGAATCCTGTTTGAAATATCCCCCTGACTGCAACAGCGGGAAGTCCTGACAGAGAATTTAAACCCACGACTTGGCATCTTGGCACCACAGCAGACCAGTAACTTGCAACACATTACATATCTAACTGGACCAAAGACGGCATTCAGTAACTTCAGCAGACAAACATATTTTGCAGCAGGCAGACATGTAGCTCTGCACCAAAACTGGACAGTGCCGGTGTGTTTTATGGCTGCAGTCCAACGGTCCTGGCATAGCTGAACTGCTGCAACCCTGAGTGCATGCCATTCTTGGCCTCTGTGCTGCAGCTTAAGGTCAAAGAGGGGAAGTAAAGGTCGGGCTAAGATTAGACGCTGGCTGGCTAGTCAACACTTGGCCCATGTTATACTCTCAGTAGCCTATACTGTAAATGCTCATACAGATCACATGTACTTTCCATAGACAGTGGACAAATTATAGGGAAAAAAACTGATTAAAAGAGATGTTTCCGTGCACCATGGCTTACTGAATGATTTGATGAATATAAAAAATGTGTGAATAAAATTCTGAGGCCTTTACAGTCACCATTTCTCAACCCAGTTTCACACCGGACCAATGCCTGAGACAATGCTCTCCACCACCATCTCCATAACATCAAATGATATAATATAACCTTTCATCTTCAAATCTTTTTAGTGATGTCTGTGATGTTATTTGTCCTTTTGTTCTGTCTCGCTATATTTGTGTTTCTTTCTATCTGCTGTACTCAAGTCTCTCTTGCAAAAGAGATCTTGATCTCAATTAGATTATCTGATTGAATGATGGTTGTATTTATAAATGAGGGGATATCTTGTGTTCATCCCACCAATAGACTTCTACAGACTTGGCAAGGAGCACTGAAGCTGTTCTGGAGGCTGGTGGAGGCCAGACTCCATACTGACTACTTACTTTAATTTGTCACCCAACTCTATATTACAATGGCCAAACTCTACTCACTGTAGAGAGAGGAAAGTGAGTGCGCCATGAAATATAATATGCGGGAACTATCATTTTAGTTTAGTGGAAGGGTCACTGTGAGATTCAAGTAAGAAATCTGGGTAATGCTTTAGATTACAGCCAGCAATGTGCAGCGCATTTACTCTGGAGATACAATGTAATCTTTTGATCTAAGGGAGTACTGGTACCAATACAGAGGCCTACATAGGAGTAGTCTACTGGGGAGCAAAATGTGAAGGGGATAACAATTTGGGATCTTAAAAAGAACATATACTGTAGATATTATTTTACTACATATGACTATTACAAGTACATGAAACTGAGCACAACTCCATCTTTCAGGGGGGATGGAGAGATGATGTCTGTATCACTTAATAATATCCAAGGAGGGTTAAATGAAGGGCAACTGGATTTGATTGAAGATACTTGAACTGGATGAGAGATAAAACCTCTTCAGGTATCTTCAATCAAGTCCAGTTGCCCTTCATTTAACCATCCTTGGATTTCAAAATGACGTTATTATCAACAGACAGACAAACTACATTCCTTTATAACCCCCCCGGAATTGTTACACACTTATTATAACTTCACATCTTGTTCCCCTACATTTAGGCCTATAGTGTCTTAGTACGTGCTGGTACACTGTTAGTACAAAATATATCACCTTAACTCCGAGAAATGACGTTTCAGCAACCCTTTACACAGCTTTATATAGCTATAAAGCTGTGTAAAGGGTTGCCGAAATCTGTATTTCATTTTGAAAAAAAGCTAAGCAACCTTTATGTAGCCTAATTTGGTATCTTTTGTATCTTTTTAAATTCTACTTGCTTTATCAGAAAATGTAGCAACAACAAATGCATGGATTGCTATTTGGTGATCTCTGCACAATGTCTCAATAAAAGGAGCCCTCAGTCGTGTGTTTCTTTACAACTTGTCTCTATTAGAGTGCTGTCCAAAGTCCGGAGGGCAGCCCTGTGTGGTAAAGTGGTAACAAACCGAAATAGACTCAGACCGCCATCTAGTATGGTAATAGAAAACTGCATCCAACTTATTTGTATTCAAATTCAACCCAAATGCCATAATCAAACTGTAATCTATTGATGCGATGTAAGGAAATTACTGTGTTTTCCGGTTATATAATTGAGAATAACTTGTTGCGTCAAAATCGATCGCTTCACAGCGTTCGGCAGTTATTGTGAGCGCCGACGAAGTCTCCAACGAAGAAAAGATAACAGAGTGAAAACCTCAACACCTGTCTCATTGGTCCTCAAATCAAAGATTTTGAAAATGTGTAATGGCAACTAAACTTCCTCCTGAACTGTTCCTAAATTTATATTGTACAACTGTTAACTGCTCCACCTACTAACACACCTGGACCTTTGACAATTGCCCGAGTCTTGAAAGAAACAGTTCATGCAGATACTGCCTCTGTGACCGTTAAATGTACACTGTTTTGAATGTATTTGTCCGTATTTTTATAATTAGCCTATACATTGGAATGTTCTGAGATTATCTGAGAGAGACACCAACATATTTATTTCCATTTCCCTGCACAGCGCTTTAATATTTTTGCCCTGGGAACTTGGCTGTGTTGCCAGAATGAAGTCAGTTTTGGACGCAGCAGAGGCTCTTTATACATCCAGTTATTAGGATTGGCTGCACATATGATGGTGGAAGAAATGTAACTTCATCCATCAGCCATTTAGATTTAATAAATAATCTAGAGTTAAAAAAAAAAAAAAAAAAAAAAACCTGTCAGGAGAATTTGAAGCTCCAATTTGAAGGAAGAATTGAGATGACGCGTGTTAATACCGTCAACAAAGCAGATTTCCGTGTGGGACAGAAGTGGATGTTGAATCTCACACTTCCACATTTCCGTGAGCAAAAGGAAAAAAAAGCCTAACAGAGCAAATGTCAAATCCATTTATTCATGCTAATCATAAGTAAACATAAAAATGAAACAGCAGGAATTACAGGTGCCATCAATTGGATATCCTCGTCCATTACACCTGATTTTAGCACGACACCCTGGCCACGAAATGCCTAAACACTTTTACATCTATAGGCTACGGTACGCAGACAAAGCTAGAAATACATGAAGTGCCAGTTTACTTAAAAACAAGCTCAACATTCAAAAGGTGATAATTTGATGTAAACATAGCTCACATGTTCTAATATTCAGTTTAATACTTAAACATGGAATAAACTACAGCTGCTCTGTTAAAACAGCCACAATAGAGTGAAGCGTCTGATCTATGGTATCTGTACGCTGGATGAAACCACATTAACACTGCCGCGAGTTTACACCATACTACATGTAGCCTACACACACGTGAACACTCTTCACTGCAAGTGTGTTTTCCCCTATAATACCTAAGAATTATGCCATCAGTCTTTATTTTCGCTTTTCTCTCCACTAACAGCCCAGCCCGCTCATGGACCCGATCCGATCCAGTTTCAGCCCAAAGCATCCTCTGTTCCAGCCCCTCCTTGACCGGTCCGGTTCTGCGCGCTTCTGATTGGCCACAGCCCCCTTCAGCAGGCGCAGCCAGGGGGTCTCAGCCTGCGTTTGGCCATCAGCCCATTTGGGGTACTCGGCTGCTTTGACCCCTGAGGAGAAGGTGGACTGCTCCTCTGGTTGGCTATTCAACAGGTTCTCCAGGTCGTCCAGGGTCAAAAGGTCATTGTAGCGTTCCAGAAACTGCTCCATGAACTACAGGAGGGAGGGAAAGATTCAATTTAATTGTCAGGGAGTGTACAAGGGACAATAATTCAATCAGTGATACATTTCATTACTCTCTCCTCTTATTTTTTCCTGAGCTCCCTCCCATCCCTCTGGGCTATATTCTCTTTTATGCTTCAATCCACTCTTTTCTTCTCTTTTCTATCCTTCCCCCTCCCTCCCTCTGTAGGTACCTGCACAGCATCAGGAGAAGGGTGCAGAGCGCGAGCCTCTGTGATCTCCAGGGGTGTCAGGAGGAGCAGGGTGGCACAAAGCAGCGCAGGACACAGCATGGCAGCAGAGAGACAGACACGAACAACTGGAGCTGGAGGACTGAAAATACAGTGGCTGCAAAGACACAAATATAGAGAAAATTATGTGTAGATATTAAAATCCCAGTGCAAATTTTAAAAGAATGCAAATATATAGCCTACATGTTGTCGGAAAATAAGATTTGAAAATCATAGTTGTTTTAATTGTTAAATGTCTTTACAGACACTAACCAATCCTCATTCATGATTTTAAACATTTTTTTTAAAAATCCATATGTATATTTAACAGGGACCACACAGATAAACACTGTTACATACAAATAAGCAATGCAACAGATGTGATGTATATAGGGCGTCTATCCGAAGCTAATCTGCAGCCCACCTAGGTTTTTAAACTGCCAAACAAATCAGTGGAAAATAAATCAGGAGACACATATTATCAACTTTTCCTCATTATTTCAAGAGGGAAACTTTCTGCTACTTTAAATAGATCTCAATTTATGGGACAGTTAGTGTACCAAAAAGTACCAACTACGTGGTATCCCGACAAACATTTCATAAATTTTATGGTAACCTGTTGAGAACAACAAAAACTTTTCAGAATTTACAAGGCAGGTAGCTAAAACCAAGTTTTACTGATCGTGATTTCTCTTTGGGAAGTAATTACTGCAATGAAGACAGTGGAAAACATTTAACATGACTAAGCATGTAAAAGAAAATGTTAAGCATGCTCACCTGTCGTTTGTCTCCTCAGAGCTCTGGGCGTATTCTGCTCTCACAGACTCTTCTCCATCTCCCTTCGTTCTCAGTCGCTGGGCTACCTCTCACTTGTTGGCACCTGCTGGGAGCATCACTCTCTCACTCGACTGACTCCTCCTACTCCTTGCTCTGTGATGGAATTGAAAAGGGCTGATTTTCTTCCTCTTGTGTCGGTCCTCTTGGCAGGAGCTGAATGCTGGGGCATCAGCTGGGATGCTGCAGAGGTTTTGTAGAGGCAGACCCCCCCCGCTTCCTCCTCCTCATCTCCTTTTCTTTGGAGTGATGTCATAGCCTTGGAGAGTGATTGTCATTGCCAAGGTGACTGTACTGTGCATCTGTGAGCCATACTGATGCCACTGTACTGCACAACGCAAGGTCAGAGGGCAACAGTCAGCTAATGCCTTTGGAGAAGTGAACTAGCTGGAAAGATTCACACATATGATTTCAAGACTTGATCTAAATTATACATTTCCCATGTGGAAACAATGCTCCTCGTGCATATTAGCCTCCCCCTCTCCCCTTTGTCTCTTTGGTCTTTCCCAGCATGCACTGACCTCCCCTCTCTGTTGGGTAAGTTACAGTCTGTCAGGGCCATCTGCTCCCTGTACCCCCTGCCGCCAAATTACAACACTAGCAGGAGCTGCAAGATCCGACCTCAAAGTTCAGCAGCCTCTGATTATTCCTAGTAAATAAACCCCAGGGATGACAAATGGATTTCAGATACTGGTCTTGCAATCAATGAATATTTTCTTTTAATTAAGGCAGCTTCTGTGAGCAGTGTGTGATGTTTTCATACTGAGCACGAACAAGTAGAATTTGCACAGCACTAAATGAAGTTTTAAACAGGGCAAATTTTCTCATGTTTGTGCACTTAGCACCCACTGAATACATTGAACTCAAATTTGTCCTCAGATAAAACCTAACTGCTGCTGCAGTTAGCCTGTTGTTGGCAAGTGTCTTTACATAACATATCAATCACACATACAGAAATGCACCCCTCTCATCTTTTCGGAGAGGACAATGTGTGGGAGAGCTGGAGTAGGCGAAAAGGAGAGAGATTAGCGATTGGGGGGGGGGGGGGTTAAACTACCGTGCATGAGATGTCAGTGAAGAGAGGCGCGCATGTAAGAGGAAAAGTAGGCAACGGAGAGTAGGTGGAGGAGTAGGAGGAGAGGGAGGCAGAGAGCGGAGGGAGACCTACAAAAGAGATTGATTACAGGAGAACAGAGGCGGCCAACTAGGCAACAGCAAATGTGTCAGAGAACAAGTGGGGAGGGGAAAAAAAGAAAAAAAAACAAACATGATTGTAAATAAATACTCACTGATGAGGAACAGAGTGAAAGTTTGTCTGACAGAATGAAATATGATATGACAGAACATGCTGTAAGAAAAGGAAAACAAAATTGAGGAAAATGAAGTGGAGAAGCATGTGAGGTGGTAATACTGTCCGGGCAAGCTGGGACAACCCATTAAACACCGCTGTCCAAACATATAACACAAGCAGACATTGAAAGCTGCTTGTAATGACGATATAAATTTACTTGACATAACCCAGCGGACACCCAAGCCTTCACACATTTGTTAGTGTCAGCCTCTGGAGTTTTTCCTTCAGCACGCAGAGGTCGGTGAGTGACGCAGCTCAAGCAGACAGACAGCCGTAGACTCCTCAAAAACCAGAACCAAGTTTATTAAAAGACATCTTGAATTCTACGTCAACGCATACGTTATCAGACTACCTTAGTTTGGTGTAAAGTACAAATATCTTTAAAAAAATATATATACACACTAATAAAAAGCAAAAGAATAAAAAACAATAATGTGTAAAACAGAAAAGTGTCATTTCAGATAAAAGATTAAAAAGGAGATAGAAATAAGACAAAACAGCTGAAGACGGATCAGTTTCGGAGGCGAGCCCGTCGGGATGTGCGGGCGATGGGTGTCGTCACTTTAGGGGTCTCGCTTTCCGCCATTACAGCATCTGATGAAAAAAAAATAAATAAAAAAAATCAGAAGTTGGTGAAGTGAGAAAAGTCAGGAACTTGGAAGACCTGTCAAAAAGCCTACCGAAAAAAATGTGCTCATGATCATCTTAAAGAAAGTTTTTTAGTGAATCAAAATAATCTAATTGGGAGAATAATGAAGCTTAACCTGTATAAACACAAAAATCCATCTCCAGGTCATGGATTAGTGCTGCTGCAATGCACAGCTCACTTTTAAGAGCAACTGAGGTACAGCAGTCCTAAATCATCTTACATGCCCTCATGTGGTTTCAGGCCAGTGCTCCAAACCCTCTGAACTATGTTGTTTTGATCCAAAGTATCTTACTGACTTGTGCCAAAATAAAGTAAATTCTATACAATAAACCAACAGCTGAAACAATTAGTCAAGAAACGGAATCAGATAAATTCTCTATTTTTTGGATAATTGTTTTGTGTTTTAAAAAAGGAAAAACGCTAAACATTCCCTCGTTCCAGTTTCTAAAATGTGAGTATGTGTTGCTTTTCTTTGTCTTGTGTGATAGTAAACTGAATATCTGACATTTTATAGACCAAGCCGGTAATGTAAAATCTGCATTTTAATAAATAAAAATTGGTAGTTGTACCCCTGAATAAATGGAATTTTTTTTTATTAAATACAAAATGTTGCTTGAGAGACGGATTGAGGAAAATCATGTTAAATTCCAAACAACCGAATCAACTGAAAAAAATGTGGATTTAATATGAAAGGCAGAAGAATCCTTGCAAGCAAAGTTAAATAAGAAAGGGGCTGCTCACCCTCTTCATCCTCCTCATCGCTGCTGAAGGTGATCATAGGTTTCTTGGACTTGCGAGATTTCTGAGGTGTCACAAAACTGTCATTGCCGCGACCAGAAACTGAGGGCTTTGCTTGACCTGCAACAAAAACAGGAACAGGTCTTCTGTCACAAACAAAATCAAAACATTTTCTGCACGCACATTTGCACAAACCGGGACCCTTGAAGGTGAAATCCTACAAGCACTGACCTCTCTTTGTTCCTCGGACGGCCTCGGGCAGGCAGAGGTGTACACATCACTGTCTTCTCAGAGGATCCTCCTTCTTTCTGGTTCTCTTCATCCATCTCAGGACTTTCTACGTTCTCCAGCCCCCGTGTGTGAACCGCTGTCAACCGCTTTTCAAACTCATCCACCTGGGCCTGGGGAAAGAAGTTGTCATTAGTAAACACAAAAATTCTTTAAAATTAAAAAACATTAACTTAGGAATGGAGATGAATTTAGCACCTTGAACTGGGCTTTGGCCCCACGGCGCAGCTTGGCGGTGATGGAGAGCAGAGGCTGGTAGACTCCAGGCTCGGTTAACTTGTCACTGTAACACTCCCAGCATTCCTGCAGCCTCTTAAAACCACGCTCACACATGGACAGCAGAGACAGAGACATGGCCAAATCACACCACTGACGCTCCGTCCTGAGGAGAGAAGTAGAGCGGGAGTCCCAGGGATTAGCGACCAAACCCAATTAGAAACTATGTGAAATGCATAGATATTCTACATCCTCAACAAAAAAAGCTCATAACTCATGAATATGGCTTTGCCTTGGCATTTGGACCAAATCTCATTTTCCAGGAACCTCTTAAATCTAAATTCACTTTGCAATTGTGTAATATAAAACGTCCTTTCTTTAAGTATGGATGAAGCATGAGTCAGAGGCAGACTGAAGCCTGGCCAGGCAAACTGTTCAGTCTACATCCCTCAACAATAGGAGAAGACCGTTTCCATGATAAGAAATTAGTGAATAAGATGTCAGAGTAGGTGATAGGTGAACTGAACTGTGTACTTAATTAATCCTTAATTGTCCTTCTCTCTTCAAAAACTGAAAAACACCCTCTAAATTACCCATTCATCCAACGCTGCATCTTGCATAAATGAAATACTGCAGGACAGTCTTGATGAGCAGGGAAACAAAGGGATATATAAAAAAAAATATATATACAGGTCAGAGGTGTGAAGATGAAAACAAAAGGGGGAGGTGGATTTACTCACTTGGCAGTTCTAAAGCGCTGACACAGTTTCTCTACCAGAGACTCGGTCTGCCTTTCTTTGGTGATGTAGGAGAATAGCTGTCTGAAAACACAAACAAAGCATCTAAACAAAGCTCTCAAAATAGCAAAGTATGGCCCTGAGAAATCCGTTTTAATATATGCCAGATTCTGTTTTACAATTTAAGCATATTTTATCATCAGAAGGAGTGTGTAATCATATGGTGGATGAAAAAAAAGAGTGAGAGTGTGTGTGTGTGTGTGTGTATATGTGTGTGTATATATATATATATATATTTTTTTTTTTTTTTTTTCCAATAAACTATCAAAAGTGTAGTCAATATCAATAAATCTGATGCATCATGGATATAGAAATAAGTGCATGTGCAATTTATGGGGACATAGATAGCAGTAACACAGAGCAGAATGCCATAAATTCCACCAAAACACAGCAATATACTTTTTTCTGTTTATGATTTAAGTGCTGTGAACAAAACACTTATTATAATGCCAAGGAAATCCCTGATTTTTATAAAACTGCTTCCACAACATTTTATAGTTGATTCTATTTTATTATCAAGTTGCACGATTCCGTCTGTGTTTTCTGCATCATTGAACTCATAGGGCCCTAGCAAAGCTGTCAAATTTTCCCTCAAATTCTTCTTAAACAAGTCACGATTTGTCCTGAGCCTGCAGAGTTCTGCTCAGTATGGACAAATCCTCTGTGGCCAAAGGCAGCAAATGAGACTAGACACATACTGAAACACATTTGCAACTCACTTCATGATGGTATTGAAGTCCTCTGAGGTCATGCCTCTCTCTGGATCGGACAGGCGACTGATGATGTCTGGGAGCAGGTTGTAGATTGCATTGTCCTGATTGGACAAACCAAGAACAGAGTTAAAAACCTTCCCAATTATTCAGGCTCCGTTAATTAAAGGGGTCTGGATGTGTGTGAGATAGTACCTTGGTGGCCAGTTCGTTGAAGAAGTTAAGGGCCAGGCTGGTAATGTGAGGATCTGGGTCAATTAGCAGCACAGCCACCTCGCTGACTTGACCTTTGACCTTGAGCACATCCTTAAGCACCAACTGAGTAAGAACTGTCACAGCTGTCTGCCTCACTGAAGGAACCTCGTCGCTGAGCCTAGAGGAGAAGAGGATGTGAAATGACTGGTCTTCAGTGACAAGACAGAGTCAATAGCCATGAGCAGCTCAGCGAGGCTGGCACAGTGGTGCTTTGAGCTAAAAGCTAATGTCAGCAAGCTAACGTGCACATAATGAATGTTAAAATGCTGATGCTAAGCAGACAAAGTTTACCATGTTCACCATCTTATTTTAGAGTGTTAGAATATTAATATATGCTAATTAGCACAACACACAAAGCAGCTGAGGCTGATGGCTCAATCAGCTTCTTACCATGATAGGTTCCTATGTGGGTTTTGGTTATTGAACATAAAATTTCTATATTTATCTTTCTGTTTCTATTTTTTCCCCCTCACTGAATGGGTGACGCTCAGCTGGAAAAAGGTAGATTAATTTTAACAACATAAGAATCAAAATATTAAGGCTGTTGTGGGATTGATGCTTAGGTTTCACATTACATGACAATCCATCCAGTAGTTGAGACATTTCACCCCAAACCACAAATGAGAACCCGTAGGGTTAAGGCTCACGCAGACAACACGACTTTCAACGTTGGCCGATGGCCGTGCCTTCACACTACACAACATGCCATCTTGAAGTCATTGTGGCGTTCACACTACGTGACTGATCGGTGACAGGGGGTCACACACTATGCGAGCCGACAACGACTGTCACCCGACGCTGGTCTCCAAATCACGTTTTGTCAAGAAAACACAGTGAAATGGGAAAAGGCGCGATCCTACACATGAAACAGCTGTTTGTTATTATAAAGATACAGACAAAGAATATGGGTGAAAGAATGGATTAGCACACGCATGTAGCAGGGATCGTCTGAGCTACAGAGAGAGCTGAGGGGGAGTAAAAAGTGTTTTGCGATGAAAAAGTAGCTGCCTGCTCTGCCAGCTGTCTGCGCTCATTGGCTGGATGTGGATGTCGAGTCGGCCGACTCTTCCAGATATATCAGAAATGTAGCCGTTTTGATGAGTCGTTGTGTTGTTCACACATAACTGGCAACCGCCAACGGTCGCAGAGCGGCAAATCAGGCTAAAAATCGTGTATTGAGAACCAGGCTTTAGGTGAAAAGTCAGTGGATCAGCAAAATAATTAGGATTCATCCTCTGGGAAACCAAACGGGAATACCAAACCGTTAGTGATAGACGATATCTGGCATTTTGAGATAATTAGCATCGGCTGATTGCACTCACGAGGCTGATAAACAAAATGTCTGCAGACAAATCTACAGGCAGCCTTGTCAGTTGTTAGTGCTCTCCCTTGTGAGGTTTGGGAAGGTGGGGGAAAAAAAATTTGTTTCAAGTGGTTTCTCACATCCTAAATGACAGCTAATCTAATACATTTACTGGC